TTTGCGCTGTCTGTTTGTATATTTGGTTTTTGCTCACATAAATTTGTATTCGTCTTTTTGCAGAATATTCTGTATGTTATTGTTTTCTTCTTAGGCCGTCAGATACGCTTTGCCACTCAAAATACCGTTAATCCCTTCATTTTCATTCCCACATCTAGGTACACCAATGCAATGGGATGGAACCAAGAAATTTGCTGGTTTTATGCCAGAAAATTCAACCGCAAAACCATGGCTACCAATCAATCAGAACTACAAAGATGTGAATGTTGCATCCGAAAGAAAAAATCCACACAGCACATTGAATTTCTACAAGCAATTGCTACAACTGCGAAAACGAGATACATTCGCTCACGGTTCATTCACTTCGACGGTCCCAAATGAAAATGTATTCGCTTATGTGAGGTAAAAGAAAATCAAAATCACACCGAAATGCAACTCTAATGACTTTCCGTTTATTTTGTATTTTTGATTCAGAGAGCTTGAGAATAGTGACACATATTGGGTGTTTATCAATTTCGGTGCCCTTGAACAGCGAATTGATATGACAAAAATTACGATTGGTGGAAAAGTTCCTGGAGAACTCGAGCTGGCAGCTGTGGGCACAGACTCATGCTACGTACGAGGGTATGTATCGCTAAAAACTGCCTTTTCGCTTAATCAATTTTTTTTATTACTAAACAAAACCAGTAAAATGTTTCATCAAACTTAATGTGTTTTTGTATTTTTTTATGCAGTGCTACAGTAAAGGCGAAAGAAGTCGTTTTGAGAAAATACGACACCATTATTTTGAAAACCAAACATGAACATTACAACGGAGCGGGCACTTCGCTTATCGCAAATATGGAAACAACTTTTAAGTTCTTAGTCATCGCAACTATTTCGCACTTCTTTTCTAAATGGGCCTAATTAATTGAACTGGCCGAATATAATATCAAATAAGTCGAATTAATAAATCGTGTAAATGGGTTCTGATCTTAGATAATCTTGATCACTTTTATGTATGTTGGTGCTCCTGATATTATCTCCATTTGTTTACACGTGATGTCGCACCCATACAAAATGCATCAAATAACTGGCTAACTTATTACAAAAATTACCTAATCAGCAACACGTAATCAGATCCTATTTCCATAATTTGATATAAAACAGCCTCGGCGTTTTCAATGCAAAAATTTCATTTGAGAAAATTTCTAAAATTTGAGTGTATACATTTATTAGGTTGTATTCTTCTATAAAGGTAGTCTGTATTCAATTATGATGAAAGTGTTAAATGGAAAATTACATACAAAATTATCCGTTCCAATTAAATAATAAAAACGTATTCAAACAATGGAATTGTGTATGCAAAGTATACAAGTCTGAATATGAAAATAAGAAATGTTATCCAAGTGTTCATCTCTAGTTGTTTTTTTTAAATGAAAATCTACCTTTCCGTATAGCTTTTTAAAGAAGGAATATCAAACGAATACGTCTCTATTATTCAAATATTGTAATTTATTATTATCTTGAATGAATATTTCAATGTTAATCGATTACTTTGTATTTAGATGTTATAATGGGATATTTTATGATATTTTTACAAATTATAACTGATAAAAAAACGAAATATTCAATACAATAAATAATACATGATGTTATTAAAATTTATTTATTTTGCTTGTTATCAGAGGTGTCCGTTATCCTATTGATAAGCGTCCTGTGATCCAAAATACGATTCCAAAGAGCATCCATTTACTTCTTCTTGCTTAAGCCTTTTTTAATTGATTTGATCAAACCACCCTTTTTCTTTCCTTTGGATTTCAAAACAGTATTTGTCGTTAATAATCATCCCATTTATTCATTAACCGAAAAATTATTCTTACCGCGACTATGGGGGCATCCTGGTTGATCACCACCACTACAGTACTTTATATTACGATCTTCCTCTTTTTATTCCAAACGAAAAGATATTAAAATGATTAATAATCTGAGATAATTTTCCGAAGAATAATACAACAAAAATATTCCAGAATTTCGATTTCGGATACTTTTTATGAGAATGTTGGAGCGCATGAAGATGGAATATATTTAGTATAGAGCAGTAATGTGCGAGCTACATTTTACAGGGGGAGGGGGGGTGATTTTTCAAACACAAAAAATTCTCTAGCAAATCAGACACATTTTCGTTTTTTTTTTTTTTTTTTTTTGGAAGTCACTTTTTGAGGCGAAAATCCCTAGCAAATCGAAAGAATTTTCTCCGCGAAAAACCCTAGCAAATCGGAAAAAAATCTCTCGGAACCAAAAACCGTAGCAAATTGAAAGAATTCTCCTCAATTTTCTACATTGATGAGCAGATTTTCTACAGATTTTGTCCCATCCAAATCACAGGGGGGGGGGGTAAACCCCCCCTTCGCACATTACTGGTATAGAGCGTCAGTTTGTTACTGCACCAAAAAAATCGAAATAATTTCTTCAAATTTGTATAATAAACTCACCTGCAACTGGCTGGCCTGGGTGGGTTGCAGGACTTTCACCATCTTTGAAAAACCGGGCTTCATAGTTGACCAATAACCATCGATCTCCAGCTGAAACAATTTTTAAAACACAAAATTATTTAAATTCCAATAAAAAAAACATACGATGTTCAGATTTACAACCTTTAGTTTTCGGAATTGGTTCTCCTTTTCCAACCCATCGCTCTTCACCATCAACTTTAACCCATCCTTCTGTCTCACCATCGCAATCGGAGTCGCTGCAATAAGGATCTGAACATTTTCCTCCAGCTAAGACTCCCGTACTTAGGACAGCCTGTTCATGTAATATTATATACATTATAAAATGGGGAAATATTTCTAATTCAATATGGACTCAACTTTACTCAATAATCTTACTTAATTAATAAGTTCAATTTCGATAATAATATTGTCAAACTGACTGATTTCACTTACCAAAACAAGAGCGATAGGCAAAATTGTTATTAAATTCATGATCGGTTCCAAAAAACTTTGTCGGAAGAAATATTGTATGATTCTGACTGAAAAATTGGAGTATTTATAGTCCATTTAACAGACGAAAACAAAATTCGTTTAGGTTAGAAACATCTGTCAAACGAATTTTATTTACAATTATAAATTATAATTTATAATTCCATGGACTGTTAAATAAAATTTTCATAATATTATTAAAGTGAAACAATTTTTCTTCTAATGCTAAAGTTTAGCGTAACGTGGCAGTTAAACTCGTTTTATATTGTATTTTTCGTCATAAAAATCTGTCTCTGATCTATCAATCTCTTTGGAAATCAAGTTATTCGTTGTGTGAAATAGATAAATAGTTGAGAGAATACCGAACAGTTAGACTTACGAATGTAACATCACTTTCATTTTCGAAGCGAATAGAAAAATTCCAAAATAAAAAGTATTTTGTCCTAGGGGATATCCATGCGAATTAGAATTAGCACATTAGCAAAAAAATAGGGAAATTTACATGAAGAAAATAGCAAAATTAGCAATAAATAGCAGAATTAGCACTGTACACGTATATACTTTAGTAAGCATTTATTCTTGAATATATTGAAATAATTAATTAAAATGAAATTCACAAAACAAACGAATTGAATAGTGTTGAACTAAAATGTATCAAAATATGTAGTTAAATACGCTTTTTCTTATTTTTAAATAAAAATATATTCAATGGCACGTAACCAAGCACGTTTCATCTGTATTAACTACAATTTACGAATTGCAATCGGAAATGTAGATTTGATGACAGATTTCTTACTGAAAACGTATACGCTAGTGCCTGCTTCAAATATACACGTTGAAAGTGTCAACTTGAAACATTTACGTAAACACATTTCAGTTATTCGATCATGCTGTCAATTTGACGTATGCAATATTTTTGACGTACTAGAGAAATTAGCAAAAAATAGCAGTATTAGAACAAACTAGTAGAAATACTAGCAGAATTAGTGAAAAATAGAGAGAAATAGCGTTTATTATTATAAATTATTCGATCTGCAATTCACGGTTATCCCCTAGATTTTGTCTTTCTGAAGATTGACGCAACAGTGAAACATCTGTTTATATATGAATATTAAGTATCATTGTTATTATTTCAATTAAAAGATGTGAACAAAGTCACGTTATTGGTTGAAATTATAAAATTCTAGCAATTTTAATCAATAAATTCATATGATGAAGATCTAACATTTTACAACCAAAAAAATCTTACTATCTTTTATTGACTATGGCCTATTATAATATAAATTATTAAAATTTAAAATAAACATGCATTTATTATAATTATTATTAAATGATCTCAGTTTTAAAATTGCAAACACTGCGATAGGAAGAAAAAAGCAAATCAAATATCTGGGCGAAATCGAAATATTGACAACATAGTTAAAAAAAAACAAACATTGCCTATTCTATCATTGGTAACCTAATACGCTCTAAATTTATCGACCCAAAATTCGAATCAATACTTTAAACAATACAACCACGTCTTCCTCACAAATTGAAAGAATAAGAAAATTAGAACGAAAAATCATCCAACATACTTCAAATACGTACAGAATTCGGGGATCTTTTAAAACAAATAACACTCAATTATATGAAAGAGCTGAAATTCTTAGAATTGATGTTCAACTTTCAAAAATTACTATTAAAGAAGCGATAATACGACTATACATCCAAAACATGACCTACAAACGATATATATCAACGTTAAAAATTCTCAAGTCAAAACTTAAGATCTTAGAAGGTTACATTATGGGCAAAATCAACTTATGACATATAAAGTTTCTGTAGAATTTTGGACGTGCAACATTGAATACAAAAAAAATTGAAAATACATTTGGTTAATCAAAAATCATTGAAACACGCATTTACAGAGAGATATTACTTAAAAAAAAGTAATAGAAAGAGAGGCATAAGAGACACAACATAGGATTTTTGTTGACAGTCGCAATTAAAAAAGAATTTAATGTTTCAATCATTATCGCCTCGCAATTCTATAAAATCGGTCATCGTAAAAATAGCATTGCTTTTCAAATTATTAGTCATAGCAACGATAACCCATTTTTTCCTAAATAATTAATTGACTAATTAGCAGAATACAATATCAAATTAAAGAGTTGACGAATTCAAATGCGATACGCAACGTATCTGTTATCAATCTTCCACGTTGCTGATAAATTATTTTTCTGTATTTTTTTTATTCCTTTGAACACTTGAAATTTGTGTGCTGTTTGAAAAAATGGGGTTTCCTTTGACATACTTATACATCAAGTAAACGAAATAATATAAGATCAACAACAAAATATACACACGACGGTATTTGTATATTCAATTTTTCTCTTTATTCTTCTTGAGTTGATGTTTGCATGTTTTATATTCTGGCTTTGTTCAATAAGAAATGCTAAATGCGTATTATAAAATTTGTTTGCAAAACGTAGAAGAACATGAATGCGCTGGCAATGAATTAGCAAAAAAAGCAATGAATTAGTAACACGTGCCGTACCAGTCGAACAATATGTATATTATCAATGTAAATATTACAAAATAATGTAGTTATAACTGGATAATTTTATGAAGATGATTAAGCATTTTTTAAAATAATTGCGTCATATTTGCCTAGGATGACTGCACTTGCTTTCAATTTGGCACTGTAAATGGAAAGAAAATATATCATATTTACTTTCTTTTTTCATGACAAGTAATAAGCGCTTCAAAAATGCTAATTTCAATGGAAATAACATCAATAATAGTAAAACTTACCCTTGTTCATGACACGAGTCACTGCTGACAGCAGCCACTTCAAATTCTTGCAGTAAACTTGCATCCAAGTTGCTTTGTGTCATATCAATCTTTTCTACACGATTACCGAAGTTGATGAGCACCCAATAAGTGTCACTTCCTTCAAATTCCCTGGAAATAAACGAAATTGCAAAACAATGACTAAAAAAACAACAAATTTCTCACCTAACATAAGCAAATACATTCTCATTCAAAACAGTCGAACGGAATGAGCCGTAGGTGAATGCATTTTCTTTACGGAGTTGCACTAAACGCTTGTAGAAATTCAATGTACTGCGTGGATTGTTTCGTTGTTGTGCAACATTCAAATCCTTATAATCTCGATGAATGGGCAGCCATGGCATGGCGGTTGCATTTTCCGGCATGAAACCAGCAAATTTTGTTGAATCCCACTGCATTGGTGTGCCTATATGAATGGATTTATATTAAATTTTGTCGAATTAAAAAAAAAACGCTCTTACGCTGTGGATCACGTGATCGCTCCAACCAGTTGGATGTCGGATCAAGTCCCTTTGCTTGTGGATCAACAGTTTGGCCAAATGAAATGTTACGATTATCAACCATTCCGATTTCCTCCCCCTTCAATCGAAACAAAAATGAGATTTTTTACAAAGATCCAAAAAAGACATATTATTAAAAAATGCATCATACATAGTATGTGACAGCAATTCCTGGTAATGTCATTATCAATGCGTTAAAACCATCAATTCTACGTTCGCAATAACGCGAACCAATGCGTGAACGGTCGTGGTTACCCACTTGCCAGTTGGGTCGATGACCGTCTGGTATGAGTTTGATTCGATCATCGATTAGAGTTTTAACAAATTGAGCCGACGAGTCTTTATCCATTTCAGTTATTAATATAAAATTGAATGGAACGTGCAACCCCATTCTGCCTTTGCCATCACCAAAATATTTCGCATAATCGTTTTCTTGCGCGTATGCTTCACCCAATAAAACGAGCTCTTCTTTTGGATGATCATTGTTATATTCATCGAATATATTACGGAATTTGTATGCAACTTCAAAATTTTCATTTAAATTTGTGGTGTACTCTTGAGTAGTGTACTGAAACATTTTGGGGTCATTCGTTATACCGGTCAACGGTTCATCGCGTAAATCTTCATATTCAAATATAAAGTTTAGAGCATCTATTCGAAAACCACTAGCACCTTTTTTCAACCAGAATAGCAAAATTTCCTTCATTTCTTTTAGCATTTCTGTATTGCGAAAGTTTAAATCTGGTTGTTCCTTTGCTAAATACAAAAATAAAAACAGAGTGAGAATCATAAGTCATTAATTGTTATTTGACATTTCTTACCAAACGCATGATAATACCACTGATTTCGTTCTTCGTTGAAAGTCCATGCTGATCCGTAGAAAATTGATACCCAATTATTTGGCGGCTCTGTGTTATTGTTTTTACCCGCAGCCCAAACGTAATAGTCTGTGTACTTGCCTTCACGTTTCACTGACTTTTTGAACCATTCGCATTTATCGGAGCTGTGATTTGGCACGAAATCCAAAATAATTTTTATATTTCTCTTCTCGGCTTCTCTGAATAACTCTTCTAAGTCAGCCATCGTTCCAAACATGGGATCAACATCGTAGAAATCTTCAATATCATAGCCAAAGTCAACCATTGGGCTCTATAAGTATTTTAAAATGAAAAAAAAAATACACTTTTAACATTCTTTGTATTGAAAAACGTTGTGAAAGAAACGTTGGGATTATGCACATTTATCCTGTCCTACATATTGTGTAAAATGCTGCATAATTTTTTAGTATTTTGATTACCTTAAAAATTGGTGAAATCCAAGCTCCATCAACACCCAATTCTTTCAAGTAGTCCAATTCTTGAATAATACCACGAATGTCCCCGATTCCATCGCCGTTACTATCTTTGAATGACCGGGGATAGATTTGATAGAAAACACCATTTTCGTACCATTCCAAATGTGGTCCTTTCTTATTTGCCTTAGGATGTGCATTTACAGCCGCAATACACAACAATGTAACGCAAATGCAGGGAAAAGTCTGCATGGTATTTTCTTTTAATCATAGAATTTCAAACTGTTTTGAGATATGAAAATAATAATTAATCAAGGAACTTCTTGTTAAGATTGATGGATATTGCATTTTGAAAATTGCGCCAACGAACAAATTCAAAACCAATTGATGCATGATCATTAAGTTACTTCACTTAAATAGACACAGTTTTTCATGGTTTTCCAAAAAAATTATTCGTTACGCAAGAAAAATCTTAATGCGGTTTAATAATAATAATACAAAAAAAACCAGATTAAATATACCATAAATTATAGATCCACTATAAATTCACTGATCACAATAGATGTCGATATCTGCTAATTACGTAACACACAAACTCGTACAGTCTGAAAACAAGAGCATTCAACGATTTAAGTACAATCAAAAAGAGTCATTTGCAAGTGTGTTCAGGTCAGAATTTGAATGACGACTACGTTACTTGGTCGACCGATGCTCTTTTCATATAAGAGCAATAACCTTGCAAAATATCCCACAAAAGGTGATAGCAACATGAGACGATGTGATGATTTTAAAAATTGAAATCATGTCATATAGCAGCCAAAATCTCATTTTCTATCGGAATAACAACAATCGCATTTTCGTAACATCTCGAACAGTGATAAAAAATTTGTTTACTTGTTTTTGCGTCGCACGCATTAAACATAAAATTTTCACCAAATTACGTAAACTGTTTCAATCAAATTGAATATTAAATTACCAACAAAGTCGAAATCAATTTGATGATATCACATCCAATTGTACTCACTTCGTGAATTTTTAGTCAAGAAACATTTCTGCATCATTGAAATACATAATGTTCAGAGTTCAATGTTTGATACACACACAAAACAGTAGAAGTAGAATTGTTTAAATGCATTGGTATATTGTAAATTTACCAATAGTTGTTAAAATATATATTGGTAATTTCATACAATCGTCAGTACAACAGCATAGTTGACACCTGTTTTAGCGCGATGGACCAAATGTCAACTGCGCTGCTATCATACAATCGTCACTGAAACAGCGCAGTTGACACTTTGGCGCTTTTTTTCGATATTTATGTGCATTATACCGAGAGTTTCATATAAACATGCCTAGTAACAGCAAAAAGAGAGTGGAAAAGACGAAATTAATCTCGAATTTGAATCTCAAATTTAAGTCTTGTCTAGTTTTCCGGTTTTTCGGATAACTGGGTTTTAGACATCATTCTGCTATGATTTAAACCGATTTCTGGGTTCAAAATATCCGCTTTTTTCTGTGAGTAGCTACTTTTTATCACAAGTTTAATATATTCGTTTTTCTAAAATGTTATAATTGTCTAACCTAAGGCAATGATTGTACATTTACGTTGATAACTCACAAATATATTTGCAAGAAGAAAAAAATTGTCTGCGACTGATAAAGATGGATTTTGAATAAAATAACCGTACTCAATGTATAACATAATCTAGTTAAAGTCCAACATCATTTCTGATGACAATGATTTGTCTTGTCAAAAAATTGCATGAATAATAAACAAGAACTTGATTCAAAAATTTCATACGACGTTCAATTAATACAATTTAATTTAAAATAATTTTATACACTCAAACCATTCAATGTGAATTGAAGTAATTTGTTCATAACGGCTAATATTAAGTGCTTGTTTTAATTTAATTGTTTCAAGTTTGAAAACGTGAAATTCTTAAAGGATTTTAGTCATGCAAACTTGTAAAGTTATTTGTGTGACGCTATTGTGCTGCATTGTAGCAAATGCACATCCATCTGTAGTGAATAACAAGGCTGTAAACGAAAGACCAAAATTGGATTGGTATGAAAATGGTGTTTTTTACCAAATCTATCCCCGGTCATTCAAAGACAGTAACGGCGATGGAATCGGGGACATTCGTGGTATTATTCAAGAATTGGACTACTTGAAAGAATTGGGTGTTGATGGAGCTTGGCTTTCGCCAGTTTTTAAGGTAATGTTCAAGAAGTGAAAATCTAATAAAAATCGATGTAAAACGATGTTCCATACTTTTAATTTGAAAATAAACTTTCCAAATAAACAGAGCCCAATGGTTGATTTCGGCTATGACACTGAAGATTTCTACGATGTCGATCCGATGTTTGGAGCGATGGCTGACTTAGAAGAGTTATTCAGTGAAGCCAAGAAGAGAAATATAAAAATCATAATGGATTTCGTGCCAAATCACAGCTCTGATAAATGCGAATGGTTCAAAAAGTCGGTCAAACGTGACCCCGAGTATGAAAAGTTTTACATTTGGGCTGATGGTAAAAAAAATAACACAGAACCACCAAATAATTGGTTATCAGCATTCTATGGTTCAGCGTGGACTTTCAACGAAGAACGAAATCAGTGGTATTATCATGCATTTGGTAAGTGAAATTCAATTGAAAATATTTTGAACGTATCGTGATTGATTTAGGATTGTTTTTGATTTCACAGCAAAAGAACAGCCCGATTTTAATTATCGTAATGAAAATGTCACCAATAAAATGATCGATGTTCTTAATTTTTGGCTTGAAAAGGGTGTCAATGGTTTTCGCCTGGACGCAGTCAATTTTTTCTTTGAATCTGAAGATATGCGTGACGAACCTTTGAGTAATATGACATCTGATCCCAAAAATTATGACTATTTAAAGCATGATTTCATCAAAAATTTGGGTGAATCATTTGAAATAGTATATAAATTTCGTGAAGCTGCTGATAAATTTCAAGAAAAGAACGACGATGTTCAGCTTGTTTTAATGTCGGAAGCTTATGTGAATGATACGGATTATGTAAAATATTTTTGTGATGGTGAAAGAAAAGGAACGCAAATTCCATTTAATTTTGTTTTGATCACCGATATGGATAAAGATTCAACGCCGAAACAAGTTAAAAAAATTATTGATAAGAAAATTGCAAGTGTTCCAGCGGGTACTCGTCTCAACTGGCAATTGGGCAACCATGATCGACCACGAATTGCTTCGCTATACGGTGAACGAAGAGTCGATGGTCTTCTTACATTGATATTGACATTGCCGGGGATTGCCATTACTTACTATGTAAGTTTCATTTTTTATATTGAGTCTTTTTTTATTTTTGTATAATGTATCATTTTCGTTTTGCAAAAGGGTGAGGAGTTAGGAATGGTTGACAATCGGACGATTCCGTATGCTGAAACAATTGATCCGCAAGCCAATACAATGGATCCAACGGGCAACTGGATGGACTTCTCTCGTGATCCTCAACGTAAGTCATACATCGATGTTTTTTATCATTTTCACTTGAATCACATTCAACTCTCTTTCCAGGTACACCAATGCAATGGGATGGAACCAAGAAATTTGCTGGTTTCATGCCAGAAAATGCAACAGCCAGACCGTGGCTGCCAATTAATAAGAACTACAAAGATGTGAATGTAGCATCCGAAAGAAAAAATCCACACAGCACATTGAATTTCTACAAGCAATTGGTCCAATTGCGAAAACATGATACATTCGCTTACGGTTCATTCACTTCAACGGTCATAAATGAAAATGTATTCGCTTATGTGAGGTAAAAGAAAATCAAAAACGCACCGAAATGCAAATCCAATAACTTTCCGTTTATTTTGTAATTTTTATTCAGAGAGCTTGACAATAGTGACACATATTGGGTGCTTATCAATTTCGGTGCCCTTGAACACCGAATTGATATGACAAAAAGTACAATTGGTGGAAAAGTTCCCGCAAAACTTGAAATAGCAGCTGTGGGCACAGACTCTTGCTACGAACGAGGGTATGTATTGCTAAGCTGCCTTTTTATCGTTTGATTAAATAAACTATAATATAATATTTTAATTAAGTCTTATCTTTTTTTCGTGCAGTGCTACAGTAAGAGCGAATGAAGTAGTTTTGAGGAAATACGATACAATTATTTTGAAAATAAGACCAGACCATAGCAATTGATAGTTGGACATCAGTAACAACAAATATCGCATTAATTTATGTTTAATTGCAACGACAAAAAAGCAGAAAAATCTCAGTTACCTTGTTCATCTATAGTTTAACTTACAATTGTAAATAAATATCATTTTAATTTATAAATACTAAAATAAGAATTATCATTCATAAAAACTCAATTATGTTTGAAAAACAAATGGAATATTTTGGAATTATTATAATAAATAGATAAATAGAAAAAATATTAAGGTTCCATGCATTGACTAAAAATTATTTGCAAATCACGGTACATTAAATGTCAAAGGTTTTTCGATTATTTGTTAAATGACATTGTATGAACGTAAAAACGTTAGACGTTATGTGATAACAACTAGACCGAAAAATTGCATGTTGTGAGATTTTTGGTGCCAAATATTTTGTGACATTGAATTTTGTCAGATAAGTGGCAAATTTTACTTTCCTCCAATATCATTTAATTTTATCATCAAATCATTCGCTATAGCGATTGATACGATAAATTTTCTATTTTTTATTGTACTAAACAACTGATGCATTGGCCTCTTCATTTATGACATGGTTCCACTCAATTGACATCGCTGTCGTTTAAAATCATTTTTTAAGTTAAATTCAAATTCGAAATTGAAGTATACTTTAATTAAAATTAAAATATTTTCGAAACGAATTCAATAATTCAAAATGATTTTCCATTCATCGGCGATGTTAACCGTTGCTTTACTGATGCTGTATGAATTTTCATTCTTGATAACCTCAAGTGCAACATTATTTGATGATGTTGAGAGTGTGGCTGATTGTGGTGCTTTATCCAAACCAGTGATGACAACACGTTCAATCGACACCTGTGTATCGAATTTTGCACTTGGATCGATGCGTTTACTGCTCAAAACATTCTTCTTGAATTCGATTTGTACGTAAATATATTTGCCATTTCGATATTCAAAGCTCTGTTCATCGTCAGCATAAAGCGTTCCGTTGGCTTCTTGGTATCGATCCAAACAAACGATCAAAGTGTATGGATCATTCTTCATCAAAGTTGATGCTTGTCGTACATGTTCTTTCTTCGGCACAATCGTTCCTCCACGTTGGAATACTGGAATCTTGTTTCTATTAACCGGAATGCTAACATATCCAACCGAATCGTACACAGTATAGTCATCAATATCATACCACAAATCACCGTCGCCAGTTGCACTGTGGCGTGGGAAGTAAACGTCAACTTTGGTGGCACCTTCTTGTGCTACCGGATGAACCAACAGTCGATCGGCCAACAAATATTGATTGTCAATGGCAAATGTCTCTGGATCGTGTGGATAATGGCTCAAAAGTGGTCTCATCACTGGGTAACCAAAGCGTTCGTGTTCATAGAACATAACATACCAAAATGGCAAATATGTGTAACGCTTACGAATTGCATCACGAACAACAAGTTTTGAATCTTCTGGGAATAACCAAGGTTCACGTCGTTTCGTGGACATGTTGGCATGTGCACGGAAGAAAGGTTGAAATGCACCAGCTTGATGCCAACGCTCGAACAAATCTGCACTTGGATCTTTAAAGAAACCACCAACATCCGAGCCACAAAATGAAAATCCACTTACGGCTTGCGTTAAACAGGTCTTTAGTGACATTTGTAAATATCCCCAATCGCCGGTATTATCTCCTGTCCAAATGGCTGCGTAACGTTGACTGCCAGCAAAATGACTACGAGTTAAAATGAATGGACGATATTTGCCATTTCCCCTGCGATACAAACCATCGAAAGTGGCCTTTGTTTGCATGAATCCATATAAATTGTGTACAGCACGATGTTCAAAAGTTCCCATTTCGGTATTGTGTAAGTTATCTTTTGGCATTGTCAATTCTGGTCCACTGAAAACACTTGGCTCGTTCATATCATTCCATATGAAAACATCATTCGTAGTTGTATTAAAGTTCTCCAAGAGATACTGATCGGCAAAGTATTTGCGAACGACTGGATTGAAGAAGTCTGCATAACTTGAATTCCCTGGCCAACATACACCTATATTTATAAATGATATCCAATTTTAGTCTTCTTTTTTTAATTCCTATTTCGCTCAATGCAATTTCTTAGTACCTTCAAAATCGTGGCCATCCTTATTCTTTGTATAATAGCCGTATTTAGTGCAGTCATCATGAACATGGTAGTTGTTTGCTGTTTTAATGTGCGGATCAATGATTATTGTTAAGTGGCGACCACTTTCAGTTAAGTTTCCGATCATTTCCAATGGATGAGGGAATGTTTGTGGATCCCATGTGAAATATCTGTTACAAAGTTTTGAATAGGAACGATAGAGTAGTAATTTGAAAGAAGAAAATTGCACATTTCTAGTTCAAACTTACTTTTTTTCCTCGGTATATTCAATATCAAGCCACATCTGTAAAAATGTCAATCAAATTAAAATTCAGCAAATTTTTTCTATGAAACAATTTAAATAGAAATAAATATTATTCAGATCTTACAGTATCCATAGGAATATCGTGAATGTCAAAATGTTTGCTAACATTAAGAACGTCTTTCTCATCATTGTAGTTCCATCGAGATTGATGGAAAGCTAATGCGGCCTGTTGTGGTAATGGTGCGACACCAGTCAAATCCGTGTACTGTTTGAATGTATTTTGCGGAGTTTCACCCAACAAAATGAAAGCGTCAACAATTCCACTTTCGGACATAAAATGAGCAGCGCTTCCAGACGATGACACATTCTTTTGCAAATCTTGATTATAAATATCAACCCATGTTTCGGCGGCATTCATCCAAAAAACACCAGCTGTTCCTTTAGTGCTGTTTCAGAGTTTTTACTTAAAATCAGTTGTTCTTTTAATCGATTTAATTTGGTAAAATCTTACCCATGACCGTAAATAACTGGTACTGAACCATACAAAGCCATACCATTATCCAATTCAAATTCACCAACATCCAAATTATACAAACGGTATGGATCGCCACCCGAAGTTGATTTCAATGCGAATGAATCAGCATGCTCCGGAATACCTATGTAAAATGTTCATTTCTCAATGCAGTACTTCAATATTGTAAACTCAAAGCAATTGTAAATTCAATTTGTAATACCAAAGAGAACTCCAGCTTGTGGAAATGTGAAATCCATTGCGACTGCTTCGGGTCCATTCGGTTTTGAGTCATGGAATGAATTGAAATCTTCTTCCCACGTGCCGGGTTCATTGTCAACGTCATCATTTGATTTGTTTGCTTTTGTGCGATAGTGTTCAAATTTGAATAGCCCCTTAGCATTGGCCGACACGAACAGCATTTCATTTCGATAGAAATCAATTTTAAATGGAGTTGCATGAATGACGGCTTTGTTTTGTCCGCAAGTGATGATGATGTCAGTTTTTGATTCTGTAACTTTGATTCTACTTGAATAGAATCCAACCATATTTTGAATATTTTAATAAAAAGAACCACTGATAAAAATACATACACATCTGGCTTCAAGGGTCCTTTCAAAGCATCAGAAACACGGTATCGATGTCTCAGTGGTGTTTTCTCGTCGATTGTAATGCGAAAAATATCACCCTGAACGCCTTCAACTTTAAGTAGAAATATATGACCATTGTTCTTGTTGAGAAGGTGAACTTTGATCGAATCTGAGTGTGTATTTAGTGTGGCTGGTAATAATTCAAACGACGAATTATTGTGCTCAACTTTGCGGCAACGCCTGATTACAGTTAAATAAAATAATTAACTAAAACGGTCAGTAAATTAATTTTTCTGTTTTTTCAGAAAACTCACCGACAAAAACTGCTTTGTTTGCACGTTTTATAAATTGATCCATTATATGTAAGGACACTCGTCAAAAAAGCAAACGCACAGAAAACTAATGCAATGAGCTTCATGTTGTCGATTTCACTTCAACAATAGAAATGCAATAATAATTGGAATGAACAATATTTAAATATAGACAATTGTGTAAAATGTTAAATTTGACCGAACACTACTGAATAACCGCATCTTCCTTTGATTTGACCGCTTATCAAATGACCTGCTGGGTGATTTATGAACTTATCTAAATCCAAGCTCTATTTTTGACTTTTTATATTTAAATGTTTTAAAAAGATTAGGTGCTCTGTAAAGGTTATTGAAGGACATAGTAATTCAGATAAGGACTCAAATAAGTGATTTGTATTTTTTATTTTTATTTTTTTTTATTGAAATCAAGTTATGCACACAATTATTATTACAAAATCACAATTAAAATGTTCAGATTTGTCCCTGGCCAAAGACATAGTCTATGCTCTACCAATGTATATTGAATCAGCTTTTCATGGTAAAAGAAATGATAAGTGTTCTGTGTGACTATACTTGAAATATATGTGTGTTTGATCAACTCAACATCATTTTCAATTCAGAATGGTCTTTTTTAAATTATATTTAAATTCAAAACTACTTAAAATTACAATGTTTCCCAACCAGATTTAGTAATTCAAAACAATTTCCCATTCTTCGGCGATGTTAACGGCTGGTTTACGAATGGTGTACGAACGCTCATTCTTGATAACATCAAGTGTGATGCGTTTTGATGATGTTTTGAGTGTGGCTGATTGTGGTGCTTTATCCAAGCCAGCGATAACAACACGTTCGATCCAAGCCAATGTATCGAATGTGGCACTTGGATCGATGATCTTACTGCTCAAAACATTCTTCGTGAATTTGATTTGTGCATAGACGTATTTACCAACTCTATAGTCATAGCTCTGTTCATCGTCAGCATAAAGCGTTCCGTTGGCTTCTTGGGATCGATCCAAGCACACGATCAATGTGTATGGATCGTTCTTCATCAAAGTTGAAGCACGACGAACACGTTCTCTCTTCGGCATAATAGTTCCACCACGTTGGAACACTGGAATTTTGTAGCTATTGACGGGAACGGTAACATATCCAACCGAATCGATCATAGTGTAATCATCAATGTCATACCACAAATCACCGTCGCCAGTTGCACTGTGGCGTGGGAAGTAAACGTCGACATTGGTGGCACCTTCTTGTGCTACCGGATGAACCAACAGTCGATCGGCCAACAAATATTGATTGTCAATGGCAAATGTCTCTGGATCGTGTGGATAATGACTCAAAAGTGGTCTCATCACTGGGTAACCAAAGCGTTCGTGCTCATAGAACATTACATACCAAAATGGCAAATATGTGTAACGCTTACGAATTGCATCACGAATCACAAGTTTTGTATTTTCTGGGAATAGCCAAGGTTCACGTCGTTTGGTGTCAATGTGTGCGTGAGCACGGAAGAATGGTTGGAATGCACCGGCTTGATGCCAACGTTCCAGCAATTCAGCATTTGGATTTTTAAAGAATCCACCAACATCCGAGCCACAGAATGAAAATCCACTTACTGCTTGTGTTAAACACATTTTAACTGATGCTTGCAGATGTGTCCATTCAGCCATATTATCTCCTGTCCAAATGGCTGCATAACGCTGAGTGCCAGAGAAATGACCACGAGTCAAAATGAATGGACGATAACGATTTTCACCGCGTCGAAGTAAACCGTCAAATGTTGACATTGTTTGCATGTGAGCGTACAAATTGTGTACAACACGATGTTCATATGTGCCCATTTCGGTATTATGAATATTATCTTTTGGCATTGTCACCTCTGGCCCGTTGAAAACACTTGGTTCGTTCATGTCGTTCCAAATGAACACATCATTCGTGGTTGTTTTGAAATTCTCCAAAAGATACTGATCGGCAAGATATTTGCGAACGACGGGATTGAACAAATCTGGGTAACTTGATGCACCTGGCCAACACCAACCTATATTCATACATATTTCAATCAGTATTAAACGTATTTAAATATTCAAGTAGACACAATTGGCATACCATCGTAATCATTTCCATCCTTATTTTTTGTGTAGTAGTTACGGTCAACACAATCATTGTGCACGTAGTAACTGTTTGTTGCTTTGATATGTGGATCAATGATAATTGTCAAATGACGACCTCGTGCCGTTAAGTTTCCGATCATTTCCAATGGATGTGGGAATGTTCGTGAATCCCATGTGAAATACCTATATTATTCAAAATATTTACGAAAAAATTATAATAACTTTGAAGGGAAATGCACACAAGTTTGAACCTACTTTTTGTCATCAGTATATTCAATATCTAGCCATATCTGCAAATGGTTAATTTTCGATAAAAAAGATATTCACTTTAAAAACTGATATTAGAAATCATCACAATGTCAAATTACCGTATCCATTGGAATGTCATGAACATCAAAGTTTTCACTAACTGACATCACATCTTTTTCATCATTATAGTTCCATCGACATTGGTGGAAAGCTAATGCGGCCTGTTGTGGTAATGGTGCGACCCCAGTCAAATCTGTGTACTGTTTGAATGTATTTTGTGGATTTTCACCCAATAAAATGAAGGCGTCAACAATTCCACTTTCGGACATAAAATGAGCTGCAAGTGGTTCGTTATCTGAACCGGCCACCATATTCACAATCGACGACAAAACATTTTTTTGCGAATTACGATTATAAATATCAACCCATGTTTCGGCGGCGTTCATCCAGAAGACACCGGCTGTTCCTTTCGTTCTGAAATTAAATGTCAACTCATAATTGTTGCTCTAATCAATTTTTTTTTGTTGTAAAGTCTTACCCGTGACCATAAAGAACTGGTACTGAACCGTACAAAGCCATACCATTGTCCAATTCAAATTCAAACACATCCAAATTAAACAAACGGTAAGGTTCACTACCCAAAGTCGATTTTAATGCAAATGAGTCAGCATGCTCCGGAATACCTGTGTGCATAAAGAATTGTTTCATAAAATGTTAATTTTTTCATTAAAAAAATGATTCCTTAGTGCAGCAATTTTCAAAATTAAAATCCATTTCTTAATATAAAGTAAGAAGGAAAACGTCATACCAAAGAGAACTCCAGCTTGTGGGAATGTGAAATCCAATGCGACTGCTTCGGGTCCGTTTGGTTTTGAGTCATGATGTGATTTGAAATCTTCTTCCCAAGCGCCCGGTTCATTGTCAACGTCGTCTTTCGGTACTTCTGTTTCTTTATTTTCTTCACCTTCGGCCGGAGCTCTGGAAAAATAGTGGATTACATTAGATTTGTACATCAAAATCAAAATAAATGTATGAAACTCACTCTGATTTTTCTGGTTTGGTGCGGTAGTGTTCGAATTTGAATAGCCCCTTAGCATTGGCCGACACAAAAAGTACTTCATTTCGGTAGAAATCAATTTTAAATGGACTCGCATGAATGACGGCTTTGTTTTGTCCGCAAGTAACGGTGAGTTCGGTTTTTGATTCTGTCACTTTGATTCTATTTGGACATAAATCGATGACATTTTAAGACGTAAAAATATTTTTAAAAAAATGAACCACTGATAAAAATACATACACGTCTGGCTTCACAGGCCCTTTCAAAGCGTCAGTAACACGGTATCGTGTTCTCAATGGTGTTTTCTCATCGATTGTGACACGAAATACATCACCCTGAACGCCTTCCACTTTCAGTACAAATAAATGGCCATTATTTTTGTTAACAAGATCAGCTGTGATCGAGTCTGAGTATGTGTTTAATGTAGCTGGTACTAGTTCAAACGGTGAATTATTGTGCTCAACTTTGCGGCAACGTCTTTTTTTAAGAGGAAATCAATAAAAAAATTATATAGGTGAAAATGATTTTCCGATCGAATTTCCATCAAAACTAACCTGCAGAAGCTGCTTTGTTCGCATGTTTTAAAGTTGTTTCTATCAACGGTAATGATGCCCGTAAAAAGTACAACAGCACAGAAAATAGCTGCTACGAATTTCATATTGAGTAAGTTACTTCAGCAATGAATTACTGTGCCAAGTGAAAAAAAGATAGAATTATAAGATTTACAGAAGTATATGTTGACTGACAATGTGTGTGACCACGTAATACTACTTTTCCAGCAGAGCAATTTTTTTGACACAAGATAAAGTAAAGTAATCAAATAAGATATGTCATCGGTATATTTTTTGTGAATATTTTCCAATGGAGAATGAATGAAAAATGGGTGATGCACTTAATTCAATTTATCGATTGATTCTTTCTAATGTGTCGTGCCTGAGGTTTTCAGAGAAACTACTGGAAACATTGAAATATTTCAATGACTTTTGATACAATTGATAATTTTCCACACAACAGAAATCTATGTTTCTTGTGAATTAATCTAATCAATAATATAAAAGTGTATACCTTTATTTTGTGTGCACTTACTTATCATTCAAGATGCCATACGAGCAACGAGCCAATTTAACTAAATTGAAAATTCAAATTCTACGATAGAAAACTATTGATCACACCGGCACTTAACAAATAAAAAATTACTTTGTAAAAGTTTTCTATCGTTTTGTTTGATGAGTTGACGCTTGTGAATAGGTTCGTGTCGTGAGTACACGTGTATCTGTGTGATGTATGTTAGTCGGTGTCATAGAACTGTTTAACTATCTATTTCATTTTATTTTCCGTTAAAATTGAACTTTCTGCGTTCTCCATCGTCCATATAACATAGAGAAATAATTTGATTTTCAAAAAAAAAATTGTTCTTCGCAGTAATAATAAAGAGAAATGAATTTTCATTTAAAAAATGCGTTTCGTTACGTGATTCCCTATTAGAAAATCTCATTAGTTTGACAGCTGTCACTTTGACGCATGCTTTACCTATATTCGCCGTGCATTGACTTTGACGTAAACACATCAAACCGAATTAAATTTGTACATATAATATATTCTTTCAGTCTTTATTCGTCTAAAATTGCGATTACTCGTTTACATGATTTGATGTGATAAACAAAATGATTAGGTGCATCAAGTGTGAGTAAATAAAATTGAATTGCATTTGGGAAAATAAAGTGATTGCTAAGTGAAATTTTGGATCTACCCGAAACGAAAGATGAGTGAGGCAGCTACTGCTAATGAATTGGCTGCACAGCCACAAGGTGATGTGACGGCAGACACTACAGACGATGCCACCAAAATTGATGATGAGAAGAAGGAACGAGACGAATTGGAGAATTATATTGCGGAATTGAAAGGAAAAATTGAACAAAAAACCAAATTGAGAAATGAAAATCTCAATTGTTCTCGTCCCGGTGAAGAATACTTCTTCAAACTGGATTCGAGTTTGAAGAAAAACACGACATTCGTTAAAAAACTCAAGCAATTTACAACCGCACAGTTGGATTCATTGTTGAAAGATATGTCAACACTGAACCTAACCAAATACATTTCGGAAGTGAGTTCAGCGCTTAGCGAAGCCAAACTTAAGTTGACCGATGTGAGTGCAGCAATTACACTAAGCACCGAATTGCATAAAATTTATGCCGATTTTTCGAATGCATTCTATGAAAATTGGCAGAAGATTCTAAGTCTTAAGGCCGGCGAAAAAGTCCAAAATCCAAGCAAATTACGTGTCGATTTAAAATTCTTTGCCGAATTGGTTTCGGTTGGAATTTTTAGCAACAAGCAAGGACTACCATTACTCGGTTCGATACTGATGAGTTTAATTGCTCAGGACAAAGAAGACTTCAACAATTTATCGATTGTGCTTTCATTCTGTCGTCACTGTGGCGAAGAATATGCTGGATTAGTACCAAAATCCATTTTGACATTGGCTGAGGTAAGGAAAATAAATTGATTTCATGCGACTAAATTCATTGAAAAAACTTCCTTATTCTCTTTCACATAAAGAAATACTCGGTGGAGTTGCCATCATCAACATTGCTTACATCCGAACGGCAGCAAAATTTGAAAAATTTGCTCAAAGACTACTACACTTGCTTGGCAAAGCATTTGAAAAACGAACACAAGGAATATCAATCGGCACTGCGACTGCATAAGAAAATTCTCGAATCGAAAGGTGAGGTGTCAACCGATCGTAAAGAGAAGTTGGAAGCATTGCAAACGAACTATGAAAAACTTTTATCGTCATCGCAAACCATGTCCGATTTATTGAATGAGGAGATGCCGGATTTACCAAAAGACGAACAAGTACAAAGTGGTGGCGTTGTTCTTGATATGATCGATGATTCAAATGACACACAATTGGATCCATGGGGCGATGAAGAGACGAAAAGTTTCTACATTGATTTGCCCGATCTAAGATTGTTTCTACCAAATTATGCACCCAAAATCCAAGATCCGATTGTGCCCGATGAGCCGACATTAACCGAAGAAGCGTTGGACATGGATATTGTGCCTGAACAACTTGAAGTTGAAGAATCAACTGTACTCGCTGAAGAAGGTGGCAAAAGCAGTACACCAGAACCCATTTTACCGGACGAAGCAACTGCAGCAGCATCTAGTACTAGCGTCAGTGCAAATCGTCAACAATTTGCAAATTTCTTGAAAAATCTCGTCAATTGCGTTAACAAAGAGCTCATCGATTCAGCTGCAATTGAATTTTTGCTCAATTTAAACACGAAAAGCAATAGGAAAAAGTTAACAACAGCCATTTTTGGCGTTAAAAGGTAAACAATTTTGCTATAAAAAAATTGAAAAATTAGTAAATATTAATTTCTGTTTTTTTTTCAGAACTCGTTTGGATTTATTGCCATTCTTCGCGCGGTTGGTGGCCACCATAAACCTTGTGTCAAGAGACGTGGCCGTTGATTTGTGTCAAAAACTGAAGAACGAATTCAAGTATCATATCGCAAAAAAGAACCAAATGAATATTGAATCGAAGATAAAAGTGGTTCGGTTCATTGGTGAAATGACAAAATTCGGTTTATATTCGAAAATTGAAGCATTATTTTGTCTGAAAATCTTACTTCATGATTTTCAACATCATCAAATCGAAATGACGTGCGCATTTCTTGAAGTTGCCGGCCAATATTTGTACAATTGCAAGGACAGTCGTCTTCGAACCAGCGTTTATTTGGAGCAAATGATGAGATTGAAAACGGTGTCGGCGCTTGATTCACGGCACGTCGTACAAATTGAAAATTCATATTATTTAGTAAAGCCACCAGAAGGTGTAGCTACCACAAAAAAGATTCGGACACCAATGCAAATGTATATTCGATACCTCATTTATGAAGAATTGAACAAGGGAAATGTTGATAAAATTATAAAATACATGCGTCGATTGAATTGGGATGACAAAGATACATACGATTACATTGTTAAATGTCTGTCCAAAGCATACAATATTCGATATTATAATATTCGTTGTTTGGCCGATTTGGCAAGTGGCATCAGTTCGTATCAGGATAAGGCGATTGTTCGGGTAATTGATACCGTATTTGAGGATATTCGAGCTGGTTTGGAAATTCATTCACCGAAATTGGCACAACGGCGCATTGCAATGGCGAAATATCTTGGTGAATTGTACAATTATCGTTTAATTGAATCGAGCAATGTGCTAAATACATTGTATTCAATCATTTCATTGGGCGTGACATTCAATCATGAAATTGTCTCCGAGATGGATCCACCCGGAAGTCTATTTCGATTGAAGTTGGCATGTGTTCTACTGGAAACATGCGGGCAGTACTTTACCAGCGCAGTGAGTCGAAAAAAGTAAGAATCAAATCAAAAAAATTACACTTTCATCCCTTTTCTAAGCCAAAGCTGTTATTGGTACCGGAGAAGTGCAGACACTCTTATTCCATATAATTTTTCGAATGCTTCATCCAAATACAAGAAATGACCGCACCTCCGCGACATAGCACTGTCCTCAGCAAAAATTCATATTTTTTCGTTTTATTTTCGCCTCTTTCAATTTTTCTTAAATTATTTTCTTCTCTTCAATTTCAGATTGGATTACTTTTTGATATTCTTTCAGAATTATTACTGGTTCAAGAAGAGTGATCCGATTTTTAGTAGCATCGAAAATACTTCGGATCTGTTTCCGATTCTCACCGATCATTATTTCAAAGAGTGCATCCTAGCGATACGTCCAAAATTAAAATTGTATCAGAGCTACGAACAAGCCAAAGAAGAAGTTTCAAAATTACAACAAGAACTGTATCCCAATCTATTCTCTGAGAATAATGAGACTGATTCGTTGGGCACCATCGCCGAAGAAGAGGGAAATGAACAAACTGATACCAATAACGACAACACAGAAGATACTTCCGAAGCATTAGGTTCAGACGATGAAGTACGGCAACGGCGTACAGATGATGAAAATAGTCCGGATGACTATGGAACTGATGCGGGTGTCGATGCAATAGATGATGATGTATGTACTTTAATGATAACAAAGTAAAAAAAATTATGTTAACATTCAATTTTGAAATTTTCTAGCTTTCGCCCTCGAATGAACCTGATCCGGCAGCATTACCGCGTGAAAAGCAACGCACTCAGGAAGACATTGAATTCGAAGAGGCGTTCGACAAAATGTACGTTGATAGCTATCAAGAACGTTTACGAGAATCAGTGAAAGCCAGCAAAGATATTGCCGTACCGATGATGGCGCGAGCTGGCAACAAAAAAACATACGACCAAATTCAAAGCAATGAAAATGTCCAAGAGAAGAAAGACACAGTGCCATTTGTATTGATGCTACGCGGTTCGAAAGGTGGCAAACAGCAGCAATTCAAAGTGTTCTCAGCACCAACCGACAGTGCCTTGGCCATTAATTTACGTTTGCAAGAGCAAAAAATACGCGAAGAAAACGAAAAAGTCAAACGACTCACATTGAATATTACCGAACGTATCGAAGAGGAAGACTATCAAGAATCATTGCTTCAAAATCAACGATCACCAGCACAGAATCGACAAAGTCAACAAAAATCACAGAAACAACAAAAATACAAACATCAAAAAGGTGCACCGGATGCTGATTTAATCTTTGGCTAATTACTAATTTGATTCAACATTTAAATTCATCACAAAATAGATGTATGATTTTATTCAAAAGCATTGATTTTGAGAGTTGTATGTATTTTAATAGAAAATACTGGCAAAGATGTACTACAATTTGAATAAATCATTTTTTACTTTAGAAACGTTCATTCGTTATTTTTTATTGAATAAAAGCAGACGACTTAATTATTTGCATATTTTCGCTAACGTACAATTCCATTGTGAAATTTCTACATTAAACAGAAGCAAAATGAAAGAAAAGATATATCGTCAAAATTTTTGTTGTATCAAGGAAATCAAGCGCAATCATCTAGATAAAGTGATATTATCAATCTTTTGTTATTAAAATCCACACAATTTAAAATTGTAACACCAAATTATCGTCAATTTGAAAAAAAAAAATTGTACAAATTCCCAATGAATATGCAGGCAAAGCAAAGTTTATATTTTCAATTTTTGACTATTTTGTTGCTTTGGAAATTCGCATTATTATCAAAGTAAATTCGTCATACTGTTAATGAAAAAACCATATTTTGTTTCAATATTTGCTGCCAATCAATTTGAGTTGTCAGAGTTACTCAAGATGTGATATATTTCTTATGATTACCTCCTTCCTCTAACCCGTTATTTTTTACAAAAAAAGTGTGACTTTCTCTTATTTTCGGTTCATTTTTGTAGAATTTTTGAACGGATTACAAGAGATTTTATCGGAGTCTTATCTATTTGGGTATTGTGTCCAAATTTTGATGATCACTGAATTATCTATTTATAAGGTTATTATCACTGTGATGAAACAATTGAACTAGATTGTTGAAGATAATGCATGGTTTATAAAGGTATGTTTCCTTCAGTTTAGTTGGCATTTTTGTTTCAAACTTACCGTTTTGTTTAATTGTAATCCAATTTGGTGATTTTAAAAAAATCGTGTAAAATAAGAAAGGTACTTCATAGATTAGACCATTCAAGTTGAATGTTTTTGAAACTATTGTTAAATCAATATAAATTTACAAATTGCTTCTCTTAACAGATGACTGCAAGTACTAATCAATCGGAATTGAATAAAATATCCAACGAAATCATAAGAAATAGTCTCGTAAATTTTGTTAAGAAACACCTAAAATCGGATGATGTTGAGATATGTATTGAATGTGGTTCGAAGAAAGGTATGCAATTATGACCAATTTTGAGTAAATTTAAAATCAATAAAAAATGTTCCGTTTTCATAACCAAAAAAGGGGATAATTTCCAAGGAGAGATCTTTCGTGTTTTGTACAAAGAAGCCAACAATAATGCTAACGAAAATGATTCTTCATTAATTTTGAAAATAGCAGCTAAAGGTGGGTGCAAGAACAAACATGATTTATTCGTTCACGAAATTAATATGTATGAAAAGGTAAGCTAAATTTGCGACACAACAGAGCAACTATTAGAGCAACCTTTAATTCGTATTGCAGGTTTTATCATATTTCAATGAATTCCAATTGTCAAAAGGAGTTGATCCAGAGATAAATGGCTTCAACGAATATCCAGAATGCTACTTTAGTACACAAGACAATATGTCCGAATCGGTGTTTCTTGAAGACTTGAGGCGAAGAGGATTTGAGATGTTTAATCATCGTAAAGAATCAATTACATTCGATCATGTCTCTCTGTTCATGAAGGCCCTTGGAAAATTCCACGCTATTTCATTTGCCTTAAAAGATCAACAAACCGAAAAATTCAAGCATTTCACCAGCTTCATTCCAGAGCAGTTTTGGGTTAATGTGCAACATGATATCAGAGATGTTTTCTTGTCATTTATGGATCGCTTAACAAGCGTTTTGGAAGATGAACAACGTTTCGATTTGTTGGAGAAATTCAAAAACGCAACCGGTGAAGATAGCATTGCATTTCTCACTGGCCTACTTTCAATGGCTTCGAAAAATCCGTGTGCAGTTATTACTCATGGAGACGCTACTATAAACAATACTATGTTCAGTAAAGATAACCACGGAAAACCAAACGAAATTCAAATCTTCGACTGGCAATGCAGCCGATTCTCTTCGCCTGTTCTTGATTTGGTCATATACTTGTTCTGTTCAGCAACAAAAGAACTTCGTGACCAACATTATGATGAATTTTTAAAGATTTATCACAATAGCCTTTCAGATTTATTGAAAAGGTAAAAGAAAGCAAGTCTATTCCCAATTTATTGGCATTAATATTCAATTTTTATTTCAGATTGGGATCTGATCCAGAAAAACTCTTCCCATACGAAGAATTATTAAATCAACTAAAGCAGTTTGGAAAATATGTTGTGTTCGTTGCAGTAATTTTTATTCAAATTATGTTTGCAGATGAAGATTCGATTCCAAATGTAAGCGATGAACAATCAGATAAATTAACAGATGATTTTTTTCAAATATCGGACGAATCCAAACCAGCATATCGCAAGCATGTTTTGGATTTATTCATTGACTTAGATCGTCTTGGTTATTTATGATTGTGGATTTTGGACACAATGTAACAAATTTCTTCTACGAAAATTCTATTCCATTGGTTAAAGAAAAATAAATATACCCGAAATGATACAATAATTGGCATTTATTTTTCGTTTATTTTTTATTAAACAATTTTGCAACATCACATGACTCCATATTTTTGTTCAATTAATGACTTGCCTTTTTCCATATAATGATAAGATTTAAAATAAAATAGTACAAATTCGTTTTAATTGAAACCGGTCTGCAAAATTACTTGAACTCTTATCGTCTCAAAATTCATCAGTATATGATAACTTATGCAAAGATTGACTTTTGCTTGATGTATATCAAGCTTTAAAATCGTTTCGTTTTTTGGATGTTTATGACATAACTCAAGCAAGGTTTTAGCTATCAACATAAAACAATCCACAAATAATATATTTTTCTTTTTGGAAAATTCGTACAGGAAAATTATTTTCCTTGCAAATGAAGAGTTTGTATGGGAATTTGTATTTTCTAACTCGAGTTTAAATTCTACGAATTTGATTAAAATTGCTAAGTTTGTAGCTCTTTAGATGCCCTTGCGAAAAAACATACCCAGAATAACCGATCGACCTTATGACAAGTGGCTCTAGTACAACAAACTACCGAATTTCTGTATTTTCAAGAATTTTCAAGCAAACGTCGCCATAACTCGAGTTCAAATTCTACGATTTTTATTTAAGTTGCTCAGTTTGTAGCTCTTCAGATGCCCTTTCGAAAAAATCTATCCAGAATACTTGATCGACCTTGTGACAAGTGGCTCTAGTACAACAAACTAACGAATTTCTGTGTATTTTCATGAGTTTTTTGACGAATGTCGATATGGCTTGAATTCAAACCATATAACTTTGATTAAATTGGTTGATTTTTCTGTGGAACCCTGGGGCTTTGAAATATTTTTTAAATTCCACTCGTTTATGCATCGATACATCAAGCATTACTTCCAAGTACTTTGGCACTACTGCTTATCACTGAATTATCTATTTACAAGGTTGTTTATCGCTGTTATGAAACACTTAAACTATAGATTGTTGATAGATGAACGCACAGAGAGAAAAAATGCGGTAAATATTTACTTATTGCGTAAATTTACATAAGATAATTAAGGGCTGATTTTTTTTAAATTCTCTGTACAGACATTTTTTTTGTCATTTATGGATCGCTTAACGAGCATTTTGGAAGATGAAAAACGTTTTGATCTATTGGAGAAATTCAACAGGATTTCTTAGATATACCTAACGATTTTTTTCAAATATCGGACGAATCCAAACCAGCATATCGCAGAGATGTTTTGGATTTATTCTTCGACTTAGATCGTCTGGGTTATTTATAATTGTTGATTTTGGACACAATTTAACCAATTTCTTCTATGAAAATTCTATTCCATTGGTGGAAGAAAAATAAATATAACTGTATGTTCAATTAATGACTTGCATTTTCCATATGACAGGTTCAGAGGAAACAAATAAGTTGAAAAATATATATATTTATAAAAATATCTTGCTAAAAGAACGTACAAAAAATTTCTGAGCGTAAAAAACCAACAATTCACTTTTGCCTACTTGTTTATATTTTATTGTGAACGAGATACAAAACGTGTTATCGTTAGTATGGTATGTGAAGGTGAACGTCTGCAGAATCTTCCTTAAATTGTCCACGCTACCCCCAAGCCAAATATGAGGCTTCGATTTAATAGAATTTTTATTTTTATTTATTATTTCTATTAGAACTAGAACAAGAATATTCCAATGATCTTGATCCATATTTGCAATCGTCTTTGTCCGATTCACATTCAAATGATTCCATACTTGAAGAGAAGACAGGATGCAAAAGCTGTGAAATATTCATCTCAAGAAGATCGAATAATGGACGTAACTTGTGGTCATCATTCCAACATGAAATCATAATATTATATCTAAAAAAGGTGATTAGAACATCAATGATATTACATGTATGGTGAAATCTACTCAATATTATTTACATAGCTTCCGTGGCATACAGTGGTTTGCTCAATCTATACCCGTCATCTAAGCGTTTACATAGCTCAGAAAAAGAATCCACATCGGGATATGGTGGTGATCCAAGTGAAAACATCTCCCACATAACAATGCCAAACGACCACACATCCGAATATACACTGAACTTTTGTTTTTGTAGAGATTCAGGAGGCCAATACTTGAATGGAATTAATTCCTGCAAAATTTAAGATTTAATGTTATTTTTGTAATTTTTGAAATTTTTTCGTTAAAATCATTATACTCGTCTATGTTCTATGTGATATTCATCATTTTGTAATATTCGTGCCATTCCGAAATCACAAATTTTGACCACATTGTTGGGACATAGCAAAATATTTCTGGCTGCCAAATCTCTGTGTAGAATCTTACGAGATGTTAAATAATCCATTCCTTGTGCCACTTGGAGTGACCAATACACTAAATCGGTCGTTGTGATGGGTTCGATTGTCAATTTATTACTGATCTCATCTGAATAATAATTACATTTCGTTATTATCCAAAGCAATAAAGATCACATACTAGTCTCTTCCATATATCCGAATATTTCATCTTTCAGATGATAAAATAGCATGTAACACACTTAAACAAACTAGTATTTTGTATTTTAAAGGGGTTTTACCTGTAGAATTGTCACAATTGGATGTCAGCCTCTTTGCGTATATTTTATTCCTTTTTCGTATAGTTGAATCAATTATGTCATATTTGAAATTTATTTGGTTGATGAATTGTGAACGATTATTTCTTAACAAATCTGAAACGTTACCGTATTCGCAGTATTCAACTATAATCATTAATTCATCTATAAAATTGAAGAAAGAACATTTAGCGAAGGTTTTTTCAAACTATTTTGCATCGTTTGGTTTCATTGTCGCTCAAAACGAACGGAGCAAGTGAAACGTTCCGAGAATAGTTTATACTGTAACCACATCGCATGATTCACACCAACACTTATATTGTATATTGTTTTCATTCTCTTTTGTGCGGTCTATCTCTTATTCTGTAGTTGGATCTACAGAATCAAAGAAGTTCCACACAAAAGAGAGTACACACCGCAATGCAAACCATTTTCGAATCGTTCCGCTTGCTTCGGTTTGTTAAGCATATGAAACCAAATAATGGTTTGGTTTAGGTTTGGATCGCTGTTTATAAAATTGATTTATTTACTTTGTGTAATATTGCTTGTAACCACTCCGAGTAAATTTAGCACATTCGAATGCTGACCTAGATACATCATTACCTTCAGTTCCGAGATAAAATCCTCGACTATCTGTGTATATACAAAAGACGATTGTCGTCAAGATGGTTTAGATATTCCATTGAGTATCTTCTACTTTTTAAGTTTTAGCAATCCTTCGAGATCATGAAGAATTCAATTTTCAAAATAAACTTACTTTGTAATCTGACACATCCTTGATCATCTTAATGGCAACTTTTGTTTTCTCACCATGAGATAAAAGGACGCCTTCATGGACTACCCCAAAAAAACCAGCACCAAGTAGTGTTCCGACTTCAAGACTTTCTCTGGGTAATTCATACTCTTTTTCATACGGCAAATGATGAACTCGATCAATCAGTGCACGATTTAGTTTGGTTTTCTTTGGATTCCGATGGACCTTTTTCAACCGATGGCGTCCCTTTCGCTCACGCAATAAACAAATTAAAAAGATCACAGCACAAAATCCAAGTACGATTATAATAAATACGTAGACTGTTTACAATTAAAAATTAAGTTATGCTTTAGATTGTATTAGATAATAGATATAAGAATAATTACCGATTAGATCATACTGGGTGATATCTGAGGAAATTGTAATATTGAATATCTTCATCAAATAAAAAAATGTGATAATTAGAGGAAGTGGTAGACCATCAAAATATGTTTTATCGTTTGTCGTTACCTCACCAACATCACTTTGT